AACTGTTGGCTGCTAGGCTGCAGTGGGCACAGCCCATCCTCTGTGCCCCTGCCCAGCCCCTCCCACCTCGGCGTCCTGTCCCTTGTCTGCAGGTAGCCCTGCTCCCATCGCCACTGCTCCCACAGGCTGACAGCACTGGCCCTACTCACACCTGCTGCTGGCGCCAGTCCCAATCGCTCTGAGCTGTCAGAGGGTGTGAGCAGTGGCTACTGCCCTGATCGTCCCTCGGGAGCAGGGCGAGGTGGAGAAGCCCTCAGGAGCGATTGGGGCCAGCTGCCACTGCTCGTACCCACTGATGGCACCGAGTGATCAGAAATGGCGCTGGGCGCTGGCAGCAGGTGTGAGTGGTGGCTCTGGCGCCGGCTACAGGTGCAAGTGGGGCTGGCTCTGGCAGTGGGTTTAAATATTAGCGCCAGCAGTGGGTGCTAGCAGGGCCTTCGCCAGCAGCGATTGCAAGCGGTGGCTCCTGGCCCCGATTGCCCCTCAGGAGCAAGGGGAGATGGAGAAGCCCTGAGGAGCGATTGGTGCTGACAGCTGCTTCTTGCACCCACTGATGGTGCCGAGCAATTGGGGCCGGCATCAGGTGCTAACAGCAGGTATGAGTGGCAGTTCCAATGCTGACAGCAGTTGCAAACACCAGCGGGACTGCAGCACACAGGAACAAAGAATTTTCAGTAACCACCAGAGGCTTGCCCCAATGACAGGAACCAGTGCCCCACCTTTGTCTGGCACCCCCACTCACCTGCTCCACCATCCTGCCGCGGCTGATGCCCACCATGTTCTGTGCTCTGCCACCTGCTGCCAATGCCCACCATGTTCTGCGCATGCCCCTTGGTGGTCAGCACACGTCGTAGTGACTGGTGGTTTGGTTGTTTGGTTGTTAGGTTGTTATGCCATTTGGTCTATTTGCATATTAGGGTTTTATCTATATACTAGAGGCCTGGTGCACAAAAATTTGTGCACCCGGGGGGGAGAGGGTGGTCCCTCAGCCCGGCCTGTGCCCTCTCGCAGTCTGGGACCCCTCAGGGGATGACCACCTGCTGGCTTAGGCC